TATATATATATATATATATATATATATATATATATATATATATATATATATATATATATATATATATATATATATATATATGCTTGCTTGGTAATATGGAGGTGAAAGTTAGCTCTTTATTCAATTCCAAATTGAAACGTCCGTTCTCAATGCAAACATTCGCTTTAGCACGTTGTGATTTCGAAACTTTCTGGACAATATTATCCCTAAGTATTCTTTAATTGATTATATGGATGCTGAGATTTTCCAATGGATTTAATCATGCAAAAACTCGTGGCGCAATGTACATTAGCCAATGCGAAAAGCAAAACAGTTTGCTCACCATGCTACGTGAGAAAAAGTTTCGTTCAATCAAATGCATGATACAACGACAGTGAGTATTAAATTCACTGGAGGCAGAAATTTTCTGCCCTTTGTTTCACTTTTGTATTTTGGCCGAAATTGAAAATAAAGTTTTAATTATTTTGTCGCTGTAGGTATCGTCTAATTATGCATGCAAATTATGTACTGTGTGTCTATGTTATTTCATTGAATTTCATAATTGAAGTTCTTTAAATTCTTCTGTATGCTCAACTGAGCTTATATATTGAAAATATGACATATGTATATAGCTAATGTTTGAATTACAATAAGTTTCTTTAATAATAACAAGAGACTAAATTTAAGTTGTTTGTGAGTTGTCAGATGCACGTGAAAAACGAAACCAACCGCGATATTTTGCTTGTGGTGTATTTTGTTATTCGAACAACATTCGATTCTGGTTAATTAACGTTTTGGAATCGAATGTAACGTGCGTAACGCACATACGATACGTCGGAGGAAAAGATATGCGAAAGTGAAATGTAATCATGTTATAGATCACCCACAAACTACAATCTGACTAACAAAGTCATATCGCAATGGTGTCAGAGGTCTGTCAACCATGAAATTCTGCCGACAAACTGCAATTATTATAAACGTTTCTCTCTTCCAATTATATAATAAATACTTGAAACATGAACAAGATACTCCCATGTACGCTTTTGTTGGTAAATGTGTAAACTGCGATCATTTTGCTGCGAGTTTTGTTGGTTAAATGTGCGTGCAATCTTCTGAACACTTGTGACAGCTGATAACCCACCTGCACACAGTTGGTTCGACGAGGGTTATATCGCAAACATAATTATATATAACTGTTCTAATGTCGACTTCTAAGTTTATAAGTTAACTAAAGTATGCGTACTTACCAGCGAATACATTTTGAAGATTTTACTCCTTATATACCAGCTTATGTCTGGAAAACATAACACAAACACTAATTGGATATTATGATTACGACTGTGCTGATAGGAATAGTTTATTGTCATTGTTTATTACAATAGACTTGTCTGCTGAACACTTGGGCTCTCTGTGGAGCATGCGTTGCGTGCATGCTAGTGAAAAGCGATTGTTGTTGATATATTGTTAAGAAAGAAAGGTTGAGTTATACTGGTTTTAGAAAGGTTTTAGCTGGGTTTCAGAAGAAATAAAAGAAGCAAATTAATTAGTAGAATACTTTCTTGGATAGTACGTGTAAAAGTTCGCTAGTTTTGAGCGTGATATTTAACAAATATAAAACCTTTTCCGTGTTGATATACAGTTATATCAACATGAGTGGAAATTGGGAAAAGGAGGAATTGTGTGGCAACAAGACGCCCGAAGTGCGGAGAGTTTTCACGCAATTTGGAATTTTCCCAATTTCCACCAGTGCTGATATAACTATATGTCAATACGGAAAAAATGTTTATAGTTGCTTTATACAGCACAGGTAATCTTAACTGTTTTAGGTAAAATGACCATGGCGGTCAACATGGCATATGTGTCAAAACCTGAATCCGCCCTGACCTGAAAATGACCCCGCCCTGAAACGGCAGTGCCGACATAGCTCTAACTTCCGAAAAGCAAAAGCGACAGCCTTTCTAAAGCGCTTATAGTGTTTGGAAAGGTTGCTTTTAGGAGTGGTCATTGGAAGGAAAAATTGGTCTAACTATAATATTTTACAAGAAAATGACCATGCATCACCCGAGATAAATTGCTAATTATATAAAAAATAGCTATATTGCATATTGGTGGCGAACAAACGTTCCGTGAAAATAATCCCCCCCCCCTGTCAAGTAGCCACGAGGAATTTTCGCGATGATTGCACGGACTTTCAAATGATTTGTTTTTATTCCTATCCTAAATTTGTTATGGGAGGCTTTTCCTTTGAAGTGCAAGTAATGTTTTCAATTTTTCGCTTGGAACTATTCTACACACAGGCACAGGCATAGCCATACTAGTTCTCGCCGTAGCGAGAGCTGAGACGAGGAACGTGATAGTAGTGGAAGTCGGAGGCATAGTTCTCGCTCGAAAGGACTCGAAATAGACCAGAGATTCTAGAGAACCAGCAGAAACAGCGCAGGATCTGTTGCGTTTGCAAACGGAGTTTTCCACGACGAAGTCGAAAGTGTTGAATTCCACAGCAATTCCAAAGGTCGCTGAACCGCAATTTCGACACCAAGGGAATAAAAAACAATACGAACTAGACAAGAACGTCCTTGAGCATGTAGTTCGAGCACTCGCAAGTCATGATATGATGGAAAATTCCGCAGAATTATCCAAAGGTAAGAAAATTCTTGAGCAAGCGAATAGAAATATTTTGTCAGCGGAAAAATACGGGTGGGACCGAGCCCCTCGATGGTGACTCGGGGGATAAAAAACGAATCAAACGGGCTATGTACACCCCAAGCTAACCAAAACGATAACTGAGAAAACTTGTGGTGATGGACTTGAAGTAACATTTGACTGTTTTAAAGATATTAATAGTTCTGTATTGTAAAGGGTAGCCAGATATGGAATTAGAATTTGGTAGACACTGATTGGACATTGAACATTTTAACACTTGGAAATATAAGTTTTGAAGCATATTGTTGCTGATTTAATTTGTGGGAATTTACAGCTGCATGGTAATGGATATCACTGCACAGTTAACAATTGTTATAGTAGACGGTGCAGCCGCATGGCATAGGTACGGCCGGTTAAAGTGCAGCTGTTACGGCATTTGTACTGTACAATGGGAGATTGTCTAGTAGATGGTACAACCGCATGGCACAGGTACCTAATTGAAGTACAGCTGTTATGGCGTTTGTACTGTGCAATGGGAGATTATCCAGTAGATGGTACAGCCGCATGGCGTAGGTACCCAGTTAAAGTTCAGCTGTTATGACATTTGTGCTAAAGGCCCTGTCATACTATTGCGTATCGTACTAGCCTATGAAAAATATCACTCATACGCAGGTACATATACGCTGACATACGCTAGGGGTAGGTTAGGCATAGGTTGTATACGTTTCAAGCACGGTTGCATACGGTGGCATACACTGGCATAGTTGAGACGAAATAAGTTAAAAATTGGCTTGGTTTTTAAAACTCTTAACGTAATGCTCCTACTTACCTACAGAGTTTATTCTCAACTCGTAGTTCAGAATACGATCTCAGGAATTCTGAAATGAAATTGAATTTGCCTAAGCCACATACTAATTACCTAAAACGAAGCTTTCACTATAGTGGAGCATTATTGTGGAACAGCCTTCCCGAGAATATACGAAAGCTCCAATCATTTTCACAGTTTAGGAAGGCTGTAAACGAATACTATATTGCCTTATCTGAACTCCCACATGGCAATCTTGTAAATCAGTAAATTTTTACCTTTTATTGTTATACGTAGTTAGATATATGTAATTATGTTTGGTTATTGGTCTTGCAATATGTTATACTGAAGATTTTACCGTGTTTAAATAAATTTGATTGATTGATTGATTGATTGATTGATTGACTCTAGGCAGACGCTGAATACGCTAGAGTTACGCCAGATGTACGATACTCATACGCTGGCATTTCAAAGGATTTTTGTGCGTATGAAAATTATTTCATTAATCATTGCATACGCGTCTCATACTTTTCTCTCGTACGCAATAGTAGTACTCGGCCTTTAGTGGTCGAGGCGTACTTTGTAACATATTGCCGCATGGCAATGCAACATGGCAGTAAGCTGTATGGCTATATTGTCGGCACACATGTTAGCAAAATATTGTGTGTCAATAGTGGTTTGGCCTAACCGGTGCGCATGCATATGGAGATAGTGCCTTTGCAATATTAAGGCCCTGTCACACTATTGCGTATCGTACTAGCGTATGCCAGCGTATGAAAAATATCACTCATACGCCGGTATACGCTGACATACGCTAGGGGTACGCTAGGCATAGGTTATATACGTTTCAAGCACGGTCGCCTATACGGTGGCATACGCTGGCATACGCCGAGGCAGAAATTTTTTTTTAAGCATGTTCAAAAATTTTGTGCGTATTGGACGTATGCTTTATACGATAAGCATACTTTAGGCACACGCTGAATACGCTAGAGGTACGCCAGATGTACGGTAGTTATACGCTGGCATTTCAAAGGATTTTTGTGCGTATGAAAATGATTTCATTAATTTTCATACGCTTCTCATACGATTCTCTCATACGCAATAGTGTGACAGGGCCTTTAACTGGGAATTTGTCATTTCTTAGTACAATGCCCCAACGACATTAACATTAAGAGCTGGATCAGTCTAGATCAGTTTCAGGATCCTGCACCTAAACAGCTAGCTGCCAGCAGTACTAATGCGAGGTAAAGCTCTCGGAACTGTTACCACATACATTAATGCATACAGAGCTTGGAAACGGTGGGCGTCTTCTCATGGGGTTTGTCCTATACCGGCAAGTAACGTTACATTAGCCCTGTACACTGTTTCCTTAATACAACAAGAACGCTCAGTTTCATGCATTAATTCAGCAAAATATTGGATTGATTGGGTGCACTTGAAGAACGGTCACACTAAACCAAGCGAAAATACAGTCGTTAAACAGGTTGCCGAGGCAGCTAGGAGAATCCTGGCCAAACCAAAGTCCAGAAAGACTCCTTTGCCAGCTTTACATGTTAAGAATACTATCCGGCGCTTGGAAGGTGGGCCGCTTGGTGACCTTCAGATAGCTGCATTCATTGCCCTGGGGTTCTACGGGTCCCTACGGTGGGATGACCTGAGTCATATTACTCCTGAAGACTTGATATTTATGCACCAATCTATCTCTCAATATCACTGTCCAAGAGAAAGAACGAACAGTTCCGAGAATGATCGCAAGCTCTCGTTGCTCGGTCAGACGATAGCCCAGGCCCAGAAGGGGTGGTTGAAAAATTTCTGGCACAGGGGAGGCATGATCCACGCTTTGAAGACGAATCCAGCACACGAAGAGTGGATAAAAACTTTACAGGCAGCCGATGTCATACAGTAGGGCTAACCAGTTGTTCAAAAACGAGTTAAAGACGGAAGGTCTTGACTCAAAGTGTTACGGACTGCATAGTCTACGTTCGGGTGGTGCAACGACAGCAGCAGCAATGGGTGTTCCTGATAGACTGCTTCAGAGGCAAGAGGGTTGGCGCAGTGCCAGGGCGAAGAACAATTATATTGATGAGTCTGTTAACTCTTTATTGCTTGTTACTAAGTATATGCAGAGTGTATGACATTACTAGCTCTATCGTTGTCAGTTGCGGCGGACTGCTGCAGCAGCTCCCAGCAGTGCGTGAGAATTGTTATTTTTTGCTGGCTCAGGTACGAAAGAAGCAGAAAATGTTTTCTCACACAAGGCTGGGAGCCCGATTGTGAATGGAGTGTGTTTGGGTGGTGCAGGTTAAGACAGCACATGTTGTTGTTGCTTCCGCTTGACATAAATCCCCACCCGCCCGCCCGTTAATGATAGTCATTTAGCTTGTTAGACGCAGTGGACTTTTATATAACTAATTAGTAATTATAACTCCTCAGTAATTTTTATGTAAATAACGTAATTACGTTGCAAAGCTATGTATGATTAGCTGTGTTAGCTGTTATTGTGTAAATAAAAGTCAAGTTTGCGACGGACTGCTGTAGCAGCTCCCAGCGGTGTGTGAGAAGAAATGTTTTAAGATATCTCCAGCTCTCAGAAAAGCATGATCCCCCGATGTCTTCCCGCGAGTATACGGCACTTCAAGGAGACCTTGCATATCAGATCTCAACGAATAGCAACAATCCTGTTTACGTGTTAACAAATGTTATACACGGAAATAACACTAGAATCATGCACGAGTATTGAACGTGATGGTCACATGAGATCACACAATGAACCATTGATGAACAATGCACAATAGCGTAATTTAATTAAGATGATCAGACAATGTATATGACACAGTCAGGAAACAGTTAAGAGAGTTCAACTATGGTTAGTGACAGCGTTTTTGCATCTATCAATAGCTACGGACAGGACGCACAATATTCTACAATGTATATGTAATAAAAGGAACGTTGTTGGCGTCAGTAATATCGATATTCTTCTGTTGAGCTATTACCCCTACGGCCCCGACGATCCTGCTGTATTGGTCAGAATATACCCGAAAAAAGGGGTCGTGTAACGCAAATCACAAGTATATTTAAGTGAGTGAGCTAATCCATGAAACGCTTTGTAAACAATAACAAGAATCTTAAATAACACGCGGTGTTTTACAGGGAACCAGTGAAATTTCATCAATGTTGGTGTAATGTGATCGAATTTAGGTATAACTGAGAAAGACAAAACGAGCAGCCGCATTAAGTACGCTTTGTAGCCGATCGAATTGATATTTTGGAATCCCATAAAGCAGCGAATTACAATAATCGATGTGGGACGTAATGAATGCGGGAACCAAGATTTTCGTGGAATCCTCGGTTAAGTACTTTCTAATCTGTTTAATATGAAATAAACTCCGAAAAGCTTTGCTTCAGACTTTGCCAACATGGATTTCCACCGACATATGCATATCGAACCATGACCCAAGACTATTGACTGCATGTGTTCACCGGATCACGTTCACGTTCACGTGATCATGGTACCCACCATGAAGTTTGACAAGATGATGCCTTGTATAAGTTGAAGTGTAAATAACACCTCGACAAGCACAGAAACGTGAAGAAGTCTAGAATGAAAAACAGATCCACTTAGCCCGATTCGTGGTAAAGTGATCAAGATACGTGGAAACGCCATGACAGCCCGATTTGATGACGGGAAAGTTTTTATACGAGTCAAATCACATTTCAGGATTGTACGAGAGAGTTCTTTCGTCAAGAGAAAAGAAAGAGCACGAGGAGAAGAAACGTTTGAATACAACATATTCAACCGGAATAGAGTTGATTAGTCGTGACATGACAGCACTAAAGATCGTAGACAACGGAGATTACGTGACGCACCGAGATGACGAGGTTTATCAGCCAGATCGATATATAATTTTGTATATAATTTTCGAATTTTGAAAACGGATATTTCAGTTTATAACAACAAGACTCGAGACAAACGTTTAAGTAGAGATCCTTTTGATTTACTTACGCAATGTGATTATATATTCGAGCATCTTAGTCAGCTTTTTGAAAAGATTCGGAATGCTGGACTAAAACTTCAACCAACTATAAATGTGCTTTTGCGCAAAAGCAAATCACATACCCAGGCCACATTGTCTCGAGGAGCGGTGCGGAACCGAATCTAGGAAAAGTTCGAGCTATCCGTTAAATCGATCCCTCAACCTAGCTACATTATTATTATCATCTTTATTAGGGTCAATTAATCATATATTACAAAGAAACCATATAAAATATTCCATCAAACTATTAATAGAATATAAACCCTAAATGGGCAAGGTACTGTATAAACAGGACTCAAAGAACCATGCAAGATACCTTCTCAAACGTTATTAAAACTAATTTATGTAACATTACACACACAAGACACACAACTCTACACACACCTAGTGCATGCACCACAGTTTACGTCCTATGACACGAACAGTCACGGGACAAGGACAACGTACATGACAAGTCAACATCATAAATAGAATCAACAATACTAAAGTATCTACGTTTAACTAAACATTTAAAAGAACTAGGACTAGACATAGTGTCCAAACATACATCTTTACATACAATGTTCCACTGTTTGACAACACGATTATAGTACGAACTTTGAAAAGTGCTTGTTCTACAAATTTGACTTTGTAAAATTACTTTGAGGTGTTACTCAGCCGAGTTGGACCGTGACTGACAAACGAGACACAGTTACTGACATCAACATTAACATAACCAAACAAAGCCTTGTACAGATACACCAAGTCCTTCACCTCCCTGTCGAAGGTTAACGGCAGAAGGTCCAAGGCCAACAGACGTTCTTTGTAACTCAGCTCTCCTCTTCTGCTCATTATGATCCATCGCGTCGCCCGATGTTGCACACTTTCAATCCGCTTTGAGAGTAGGATGTTATTTACGAGCGACGAGACTAATTCCGTTGCGTAGCATTATTGTCATTTCACATGAGTCAAATAACGAGTTCGCCTGGCGTACATGTCTGTCAGTTGAGTACATGTTCGTTTCAGTACACCTACAATTTTGTTAGCCTTGGAGATGGCACAATTGATTTTAAGTTCCCATGAAAGTCCGGAGGAAGTGATGACGCCAAGATCCTTTTCACTGTCAACTCGAGTCAGACTTTCTGTTCCCAGTTTGTAATCATGAGTGACAGGAGTTCTCTTGCGTGTAATGGCGAGTACTTTACATTTCGAAGCATTGAAACGGATGTTGTTTTGTACACTCCAACAATTGAGATTTGTCAACTTGGCAACTTTAGCGCCCCACTGGCATTTCGGCGCCCCTCTTGAAAGCGCCCCACTGGCATTTTAGCGCCCCTCTCCACGCCACTGGCCCCCGTGGCATTTGCTTTAATACGTTGTGATTTCGATCTTTCTGGACAATATTAAATTAGTCGTAAATATTCCTTATTAATCTCTAATCAATTCCCAATCATCATCAATTACTTCCATGTCTTCAAAATCTTCTTCAGACAAAGATAAGGGAAAGTCTGAACTATCCATATCATCAAATATTTATTTATTTATTTATTTATTTATTTATAAACTTTGCCGCCAAAAATTTATACAACGACAACGGCGCAGGTACATCAACACAGCGTCAACCAATTACGTTGATGCCCTGGTTCTACAGACAGTACTAACAATACATCCACTCGAACTCGAAACGTACACAACACATCTATCTATTTACATATAATTACAGTTCAAAGTCCACATTAGCCACCAAGGCTAGTCCTAGAAACAACAGTTCTTGAACGTTTTTAATGGTCTTGCTAGATGGCACTTGGGACATATCGTTTTCCATGACTTGGGGTGATCTTTGTCGAAGGTGGTCTTGGTGGCAGTAAGGTAATATTGGGAAAGGAGGGATTTAAATCGATGGTATGAAATCTCTGGTAGACGTAATTCATCGGGAAGAGTGTTCCATATCCGTGAAGCTCTAACAGCATAACTGTTCTGATAGCAGAGTGTCTTAGTTTTTGGTATATGATATGTCACGAGGGTGGTATTTTGTGACCGTAGGTTCATCCTTAATTTGTTGTTTTGTTCTGGGAGGATATTGAGATCAGATGAAATAAATCCACGTGTAAGTTTGAATAAAAGGAGAACGTCCATATATTCGTGCCAGTAGCTCAGTGGTAACAAGTTTAAGGCCAACAATCTTGATTTATAGCAAGTGTCAGTTTCAAAAGGTAAAGCCAAGATGAATTTAGTTGCCCTCCTTTGAACATTTTCCAATTCACCACACATGCTTACGGTTTGTGGGCTCCATACCTGTGACGCATAGGCCAGATGAGATCGGACTAATGCCAGATATAAACTACGTCTAGTGCTTGCATCTCTAACATGACCTGTCGAACGTTTCAGCATGCCAAGCATACGGTTCGCTTTGGTAATCTTCTCGTGTATGTGGATAGTCCATGTAAGGTCAGAAGAAACTGTCACTCCAAGGTCTTTCTGACTGGGAACGTGTTGCAAAGCTCGGGCATCGATGACGTATTCAGCAACGATTGGGTAGCATTTTCTGGTGATACTAAGGACTTTGCATTTCTCTGCATTGAAATTCAGTCGCCAACTATGCGCCCAGTTCTGCACATTTTTAAATTCCGTGTTTAGGTTTCTTGCATCGCTTAGGGACTCAATGGTTGAAAAGCATTTTGTGTCGTCAGCAAATAGAGAAACGTTTACAGATGGTGAAGACACTGACGAAGGAAGATCATTGACGTAAATTAAGAATAACAATGGACCAAGGATCGACCCTTGAGGGACGCCAGACATAACTGGGAGGGAATCTGATGTTGCACCGTGAACTAACACACGCTGTTGTCGCTCTGAAAGGTAGTTAGAAAACCAGTTTAAAACTTTGTCCGCGACACCGAAATGAAAGAGTTTCTGAAGAAGTAGTTTGTGGTCGACGGTGTCAAACGCTTTGGCAATATCCAGATACAAGATATCGGTTTGCAATCCCATGTCAAGGTTTTTGCCGATGCGATCAAGAACGGAAAGCAGTTGGCCAACACATGATTTTCCTCTTAGAAATCCATGCTGTTCATCCGATAACATTTTCTGAATGTGATCTACCAATCGATTATAAATGCAGCGCTCGAGAACCTTCGCAACCACACACATCAGTGAGATGGGTCTGTAATTCTCAACGTAGCTTTTGTTACCCTTTTTGTGTAGTGGAACGATATTAGAGAGCTTCCATTCCGTCGGTAGATTGCCAGAGTTTAGCGATTTATTGAACAAATATGTTAGTGATGGAGCGATACTAGAAGCACATTCCTTCAATAAACGTGTGGGTATGTTGTCAGGACCAAAGGCTTTATTGGGATTCAGACTGTTGAGTGCATTGCGAACTTCGCACTGTTCAAGGATGATCTCTGTGATGGATTCATTGGAAACAGGTGGAACTGGATTGTAGTTCTCATCAGACTCTTTTAAAAACACCGAATTGAAATAATAATTGAAAAGGTTAGCTGTTTCTTGTGCGTTGCTTGAACTGGTACGCAATGAATTTGTACCATTTGCAGAAGACACTTGTTGTGGTATTCTGCAAGACTTAGTGGTTGTTTTGAAGAAGGACCAGAAGCGTTTTGGGTTGGAATACAGAGACTTGCTCATTGAAGCAAAAAAAATTTCTCGACTGTCCTTAATTAACTTCTTGGCTGTATTTCGAAGTGATTTATACTTTTCCGTGATCGAGTCTGCACAAGTCTTGATGGTGCGTCGCAG